TTCGTTTTTGCTAAAACAAGTATAAATACAAACATTACTTAAGGGTATGTAATATTTATCTTTAGACTAGACACTTAAAAAATGCAACGGGGCGTTAAAATAAGATATTTTTGGCTGATATATTACCTATGTTAGCTACTAAGTTTCGTATGTATGTTTGTTTGAACTCCTAATCCTGGCTGCTTGAAGTACCTACCTAATATTATTTATTACTTACACATAATCTACTTCATTGGCTAATTCTTGAATTCTGACAATATACGTATGTACGTAATTACTCTAAGAAAAATACCATAAAATAGGATGAATAGAAACCGCTGGGTGGATAGAAACAAGTCTGGTTATTTGATAAAGTTGTCTCTAGGTTTTTCAAGATTGCCAAAATAAAGGAAAAATTTTAGCATATAGGTAATAAACAGTAGAAATAAACACACGTTCCCGATATATGTAAAAAAACCTACAGGCAACTTAATCAAATAACCAAACTTTTTTCTATTCAACCCGTGGATTCTATTCACCCCATTTTACTCGGTACCTATCTCCATCGATTTTAAAAACTGTCAAATAGGTAGCAATTTAATCTTAGAGCAGTGATACATGTCAACTAATGTATCTTATTAATATTTTATGGATCTTGGACAAAGAATCATACTAGTTTATCCAAGATATTAGGTATGTTTATGTTATCGCAGGACTTACAAAGCGCCATAACTTCTCAGGCGGGTTCAAATTGGAGATTGTGTTAGTAAATAGCCAAAGTTAATGGGTAGGGAGGAAACCCAACTAGCTATATAATAATAAGTCAAATGAATTTGCAGCAATTTTTCCTCATCGAGTGACTTCATACGACAACAAACAAGAGATAAGCAGCCATGACTGGCAGTTAATTGCATGGCTCTTTTAATATGTTTGTTAGATAAAACCACAAAACAAACCCTACGTATTAATAGCATAATAAGTGGATATTTTCCTATTTTTATACCTATTTTAATAATATACTCTTTTGTAAAATAATTTTATACATGATAGAGCCACGTTGCACCTATATTACGGTTTTAGCACGAAACAGTCCACTCGATGTGCTGCTGTGTTTCGTACGGTGAATATAGAGAACCGGAAACCCTTTTACTGGAAATGAGACATTCCAACTTAGTGATTCATTCATCCATTCATTTTAATCGATGAAAGATCTAGACGTCTATTGACTCACAAATATTTGTTACCCTTATTCTATAAAAAAAAAGAATTGAGCAACATTTTCCAGATATCCACTGCAACAAATATTGAATATATATTAACCGTTATAATGTCCAATATTTACTAACAATTTTAATCGAAAGCACCTGTTTGCTAACAGCAACTTTACAGATTATTTCGGATTTTTTTATAAAAAATAAAGTAAGTATCGCAGGTTACATGCGACTTGATCACAGATCCTGTCTAACGTAGAATTGATGTTTTAAAAAACTGAGCTGACTGACATAAGTGAAGTATAATGAAGTATAATGTACATAGTTATAAATATCTCAATGTTGTTTGGAGCTTAATAATTATGTTAAAAGACCTTGACTAAGTTTGAAAATGTTTTGAAGGTCTATTAAAATAATAATTAAGACTTGAAAAAAACGCACTTGTAATCTATTAATAATTAATATAACAATAAAATATAAGAACATAAATAAAACATTCTTCCCAAAAAAATTATCTAGCTAATTCATACAATATCTAATTCAGTCATATTTTTTTTACCCTATGCTAGTTACTAGCTAATACCCGCTCGCTTCGCTGGGCGCACGATAATAGACGATAACAAACGTAGATAGATACAAAACATATCTTGATGGGACTGTCGTAAAATCCGTTCGCAGTGAGCGTCTACATTGCGAAATGAGTAACTATAGGTGAGGTGTATAGTTTTAGAGATATAGTAATGAGTCAGTTAGTCAGTAGTATTTCGCTGTTTTATGTTTTACTCCTTTTTAAAGTCAACATACATGCTCAATTAAAATTATATCGATATTTTCATTTTTTAATACTTGTGCACAATGCATAATAAACTCAGTTCTTAAATATTATCTTTATGAAAACATATAGTACGTGAGGGTAATATGGTCATCGGGTTAATATGGTCACTTTCTTATAACTCAAAAACTACGGCCTTATTTGCATAGAAGGCTATATGATACGATAGCATTTCATCAGTCAATCAAATAATAAAGAGTCAAAAGTACACAGCTTTATCAGCGCTATTTTAACAGTTGAAACTATAGTAAATATTTAGTAGAATATTAAGTTGATTTTAGAAGTGTTCCTAATTATTGCAAAAGCTTTTTGCTATTTTTTTATTAATATATTAGTTATAGTCATAGAGTTATATGTACTACGCTACGTACTAGAGAAGATATTCCAAACAAAAAAATGTGCATTACTCTGTATCAGTACATGTGCGGAAAACGCGCGAAAATTGTCATAATAAATAATTGTTTATTTAGATTGTATTGTTAATCGAGTGCATTTTTTTAAATTTTCGTTTATTTTGCATATGTGCTAATTTAATATAAAATTACTATTAGCGCCGCTCCGCACTGCATGAATATCGAAGCCAGAATAAGAGGTGTACAGATTGCAGTACAGTTCAGTTGAACATCGTGAGTGTTCGGAATGCCAAATCTAGTGCGTAGTACATATATTATATCGATGGTTATAGTAGACTTTGTGTTTTAGTATCTATCCTCCTCCTAGTTTTGGTTATACAGGGCGGCAACGCTTAAGGTGACCATATTACCCTCATGTACCTTACTCGTAAATTCAATTATTTTTCGTCATAAGAGATAAAATTTAATTTGTAAGTAGTTATAGCAAATTACAATGAATGAAAAAGACTTTTTTTCATAAGAATCATGAAATTAGTAAAACGCCCTTTCTGCCTAAAGTCTATTTTACCCATAGAATGTTTTACCTATTATTGCATTGATTTATATAACCCTAGATCAGTAATAACCGCGCCAAAGCGTTGCCACTGCACATATAGCCACATCCATATGCCTAGCTAACGTGAGTTCATTGTTCAATGTGACGCCGACAGAGTTGAGCCGCGACAAAAATGGGTAAATGTGTAGTGAAAGAATGCTACTCAAGGTCACAAAAACGTAATAAATCAAGCGGCATCACTTTCAACACATAATTTTTAGTTCTTGTTTTCATATAAACGTAAAAAAATCTCAAATAATAAATAAAATTATCAAATATTGCCATTTAGGTTCAATGTTGCCACTTTTCCGCATTTGTGATTATCCTACATTAATGGGAGACTATATAATTAATGGAGTAAGTTAATTTGTTACCTCTGATTTTAAATATTTTGGAAATTATAATAAAAACTACGTTTTAACTTTCATACAAAATAATTAATTATTCGTATTTTAGTTTATTCATGAATTATCTATTAAATATATTTTATTACCTATTTTATATTAATAATTTTATATTATTTATAATTTCATATAAATTTTATATTAATTATATTTTATTAGATACCTATTTTATATTGTTTGATTTATTAGAACCACAAAAATACGTTTCATTTCATCATTATGTTTACTTCTATTCATCTGATAAGCTTTGTATCCCTTTTTTTCTAAGGGGACGTAATAAAGATTTTAAAATAAAATATACTTTTTTAATATAAAAACAATTAACTCCAGCTTTAAAAAAAAACTCATTTTTAATGCGCATTTTAGGTAAAATTTCATATAGTAAGCTACACCAACCCGCCTTTGCATGTTTGTGTGTCTATCTTTATCTAATCTTACGACGACATTGTTTTCGCAACTTGTGTAAGTGAGATTGCAGATATATGTTTACTTAAAATTGTCATCAATTTCAAAGACTACGTCCTCGCGATTTGGATAGTGGTTGAACACTTTTTTCGACGCGCGGTAATGTGGTTTGCTCCTCTAGTGTTGTATAACTCAATGTATTATTGTCACAAAACAAGCAATGCGATCTGAAGGATACAGAGATCCAGTATAATTACAGGCTGTGAGGCATTCCATCTTACTCCTCATAGGTTAGGTACACACCTGTAGACTTCATTATTTGAAGTTGTTGGCAGGTGTACCATCGGGCAGCAACAGCCACGTACCATCGATGGACTGTAAGTAGGGATGGCTCGATACATCTTTTTGCCGATACGATACCGATACCGATGTCAAAACTACAGAAAGGTTAAAGCTTACGTTAATAGTTTTAGTATTAAAATTAATATTGATGAGATTTTTGTTTAAAAAACAAAGTATTCTTAAGTTTTGCGGAGAAAAGTGATTTCGCAAATCTGAATAAGACCTGCGGTGGAAAATAGACTCTCAGACAGGACATAACTCATTTGGAAACTAGAGTACTTCTACGCCATTTTTTTTTTCAAGTTTCGGTATAAGACATTATTGTGCTAGAAAACGAACAGATCTACGTCTCTCGATATGTTATGAGTACCTTAGGTAGAGAATAGACAGGGGAAACAAGGAAACTACACAGCACAGCATAGTTAGTTCGTGCCTCGTTTGTAAGGGCTAATAGCTTTTAAAGCGCGAAATTTTAAAAGTATCGTTGGATCGGCCATAAAAATATCACCGATGTCGATATATCGGTATCGGTATCGGTATCAGTATCGGATGCATCCCTAACAGTAAGTTCTATTTAAAATTACGTTCTATGTAAATATTGTTATATTAAATACATAATATGTAAATATAATTTATTTTACCTGTAAGTTCTATTTAAAATTACGTTCTATGTAAATATTGTTATATTAAATACATAATATGTAAATATAATTTATTTTACCTGTAAGTTCTATATAAAATTACGTTCTATGTAAATATTGTTATATTAAATACTTATGTAAAGATAATTTTATTTTACCTGGCCTATCCAGCAGTGGTTTCCTAAACCTAATAAGGAAATAATGTCGGAGTTTTCTATGTATACATGGGTAGTCTTACCTTGATGTATTCTGGCTTGAGGTGCTCGCCGTGGTGCAGGTCGACCAGCTTCAGATTGAGGTTCAGGTTGAGAGCACGCGCTGTGAGAAGCACCGCACGGCACGGGGCCGAGCCGGGGACGTAGTACAGGTCGATCGGCATTTTGCTGCGGAAAGGAGATAGCTTTGTTATCTGAATGTCCGGTAGTTTTTAATTGTATTTTAAGTAAGCGGTGTATGTTTCCGACATCCATTAGGATGCTCTCAGATTGTATGTAAAAAACACGGTAAATATACTACACATACTGCATCAACGTCCAATTTTTTTTGTAGAATAAGGGTGACAAACGAGCACACAGTCCACCTGATGGTAAGTGGATGCTGTGGCCCATAGACATCTACATTTATCCTTGATTACGAAGTAAATGCTGATGTTGATGCGTTGTCACCCATGAGTATTAAGATGGGATGCCCTGTTTTCAGCAAAAAGGGTCTTCGGTAGTGTAGCTGCATTAAGCTGCTATTTATCGCTGGTATCCTGTGAAAGCGTGGCGTGGTCCTACCATTTATTTGCAGATTTTCAGCTAGCTAGTTTAGCTTTTAGACCTTGTGTGAGTGGTAAATTAATTATTTACTTTTATTTCATTAAAGTATTTATTAAATATTTAGTCTGTATCACAATAAATTCAGAAGTTTATTTTTTTATTTTTAATTCCAGACATTCAGTATTGGCCTAAAAATAAGAAGTAATTATCATGATATTCTTTTTATATTTTTTGCTGCTAAACGTGTTAAACTTCTGTAGGCTTTATGACTTTTTTGGCGTTAGACAAGAAATATATAATTTTCACAAGTATGAAAACACAGTATACGTTATAATATAACGTTATGTAACGTTATATAACACAATTACTGTGTAATATAATGTGTGATAAGTTTCTCGAAAAGGGCTCTAACTCGTTCTCCCAAAAAATCATCATAAATTTAAAATATAGTGAGATAAAAGAAGTTAAATTTAATACATTGAAACTCTCTCCTCCCACACTTTAATACTTGAATACATAGGTAGTCTTATCAATATTTATTAAATTACTTAAATTAAACATTTTGAACACCCCTGAAAAAATAAAACCTCAAGATCTTCAAACGTTTGAACAGATTTTCTTGAAACATAGCTAGGAACACTCTTGATTAAGACACCTTTCAAACTAAAAACACTTAATGAAAATCAGTTCATCCGTTCAGAAGCTATAATGCCATAGACAGACGCACAGCTACACACTACAAACTTAGAACCCCTCTTTTTCGTTGGAGGTTAAAACATTTATCATTAACATGATTTCATTTAGATATATTAATTATTTAAAAAATTAGTCCTAAGCATGCGATGAATTCACCCATTTTGTGCAAATCAAATGATGCAGACAACGACTAAGTAATTTGTAATAGATGGCGAAGTAGACCAAAAATTTCTGATCATATACTCCTACTAGTAAAGAGTCACAGGCTGATACTCTGATCGCTATCCCTCTCCTATCATTATCATTATCCTACCTCCTATCACTACGTTGCGATTCGAGCAATACAGTTTACATTTGGAAATACTGTGAACTTTAACTGGAACTTTTATAAATGCAGAAGATGACACTACATCTACATTATATATAAAAATAAATAATACGTATCTGCTAGTAGAGTATATCAATATAAAAATATAATATAATAATATAGTAAAAATATAAATAAATATAAAAGTATATCAATAAGCTTAAGATAAGTCAGAGCTGGATAAGATCTATAAAAAACTTTTCATTTTTATTTTATAATATACTGATTATGGAGTGTAGAAGTAATACTGATATTAAAACGTCTCCGTGGCGCAGTGGCTTAGCAATGAGTTGCAGCACTAAGCGTCGCGGGTTCGACCCCGCACGGAACAAGTATTTGTATGCCCTAAAATGTTTATCCTTGTGAAATTTATATTCGTAAACTGACAGGATACAGGATATGATACAGGAGAAAATCCTAGTGTGGAGCTTACAAAAGTAACAATTAAAAGAAAGTTTATTTGCTCCAAAATATTTCTAATAAAAATTAAAAGTGAAAAAAGGATTTCCCGTACCGGGAATCGAACCCGAGCCTCCTGGGTGAAAGCCAGGTATCCTAGCCACTAGACCATACGGAAGATGAAAACAATAATGAATATAGCAATCAAATCCACTAATAAATTGTTTATAGCTTTTAAACATAATTCATATAAAATTAACATTAATTATTATTACGTAAAAGAGGAAATTATTTATAACCACTTAAATTATGAGTAGACTACTAAGTGTTTTTTTGTAATATATTTTTATTAATATCTTTATAATAAGTACCTAACATTATGTGGCGAGCGGAGACCATGAATTTAATTTAAGTGTTTAACTAATTTAATTCGTATTTGAAAATAAACAAGTTTAGCTACAATTTTATGAATCAGAACTCTAGAAGGTTCCCAACCGTCACGAAGTAAATCGATTTAACTCGACACGGAATTGTATTTGACCCATTCAACGTTACTCCGTTACCAAGGTTGTGAATAACTGTTTTTGTAGCCATGTTAAACAAAAAGTTCATTGAAAACCGTTCTATTTCAGTCATTTTGTCGCAAAACCAAGTTTTTAAGCATTTCGCAATACTAACAAGAAATATTTTCGCAGGACAGCGTAGGTAACTGACGATAAAATAATATTAGCAAAGGGACTTCATCATCATCATCACAGCCCTTCACAAGTCCACTGCTGAACATAGGCCTCCCCCAAGTAATGCCACAAAGCACGGTCCTGAGCCACCTGCATCCATCGACTTCCTGCATATCTTACCAGGTCGTCACTCCATCTAGTGGGGGGTCGCCCTACACTACGCCTACCGGTACGAGGCTGCCACTCGAGAACCTTTCTTCCCCATCGGTTATCGGTTCTTCGAGCTATATGGCCGGCCCATTGCCACTTCAGCTTACTAATCCGTTGGGCTATGTCGGTCAATCTGGTTTTACTGCGGATATCCTCATTTCTGAGTCTATCACGCAGAGAAACTCCGAGCATAGCCCTCTCCATAGCTCGCTGAGCGACCTTGAGCGTCCTCATACGGCCAGCAGTGAAGGACCACGTCTCTGATCCGTAAGTCATCACTGGCAACACGCACTGGTTGTACACTTTAGTTTTCAGAGATTGAGGTATACCTGACGAGAAGATATGTCGTAATTTCCCGAACGCTGCCCAGCCGAGTTGAATCCGTCGATTGACCTCTCGGTCGAAGTTGGACTTACCTAGTCGGAATATTTGTCCCAGGTAAACGTACTCGTCAACAACTTCGAGCATAGTGCTTCCAACAACTACCGGCATAGGTGTGACATGGACATTAAACATAATCTTTGTTTTGTCCATGTTCATCTTAAGACCTATCCGTTGGGAGGCACTATTGAGGTCATTGAGCATAGTGCTTAAGTCCTCCAGCGATTCTGCCATAAGGACTATATCGTCGGCAAATCGAAGGTGAGTGATGTACTCGCCATTGATGTTAATACCGTATCCTTTCCAGTCCAGTAGCTTGAAAACGTCTTCCAAAGCAGCGGTGAAGAGTTTCGGGGATATAACGTCACCCTGTCTTACACCTCTCTGCAGTTGGATAGGTTTCGTACTCTGGTTCTGTACTCGGATAGCCATCGTAGCCCTACTGTACAAACACTTCAGCACTTCGATATACCGACAGTCAACTTGGCACCGCTGAAGGGACTGCAGCACCGCCCAAATTTCGACGGAATCAAAGGCTTTCTCATAGTCCACATACGCCAGGCAAAGTGGCAAATTGTACTCTTCAGTCTTCTGTACAATCTGCCGCAGGGTATGTATGTGGTCTATGGTACTGAAGCCTTTTCGGAAACCGGCTTGTTCGGGAGGCTGGAAGTCGTCGAGTCTGCGTGCGAGACGATTCGTCATGACTCTCGAAAACAGCACGTAGACGCGGCTCAGAAGGGAAATCGGTCTGTAGTTCTTCAAGAGAGCGTTGTCGCCTTTCTTAAAGAACAAGACCACCGCACTTCTGCTCCACGCCTCCGGAGTAGTGCCATCATGGAGGACGGAATTGAAGAGCTTCTGAAGGACTTCAAGTACCGGTGTTCCACCCGCTTTCAGAAGCTCCGCTGTAATTCCATCCTCGCCTGGGGCCCTGCCGTTTTTAAGGTGCTGGAGAGCCATTCTAATCTCGCTTAGACTGACGTCCGGGATATCATCGGAATAGTGTCGGATAAGACTTGCTCTTGGATCGTTACTCACACTTGCGTGTGGCTCCAACGATGATGTGTACAGCTGCCCATAGAACCTCTCAATCTCACTCAAAATCTCAGGTGTCCCGGAAACGATGCTGCCACACTCAGTCTTCAGCCTTGACAGTTGGCTCTTTCTGGCAGACAGATCTCTGGCAAAGACTTTGGAGCCCTGGTTCCGCTCGATCGCTTCTTTAATACGAGCAGTATTAAAGTTGCGTAAGTCTCGCCGTATGCATTTGGAGATCTGTCTGTTCAGTTGCCTGTATGCTGTCAAATCTGTTGACGATTGCAGCCTCATCTCCCGTCTAACAGCCATGAGATTAAGAGTGTGATCGGAGAGTTTTTGTGTTCTTCTGCGGCGGGTCTTGCAGAACTTAGCTCCGACCGCATGGACAGTTTCCACGAGCTTGTCATTCATATCGTCCACTGCATTGCAATATTGTAGGCACTGAAAGCGGTTGTGTAACTCGAGCTGAAAGTTTTCGGGATTTTGGATCAGAGCACGAGGGGGACGGAGCGTTGACTTCATTAGACGAGACCTCTCCAACTTAACGTTTAGGTTCAGTGTGCCTCTAACCATTCGGTGATCGCTGCCAGTTTTCACCCTTGCGATCACTGAGACATCACTGAACAGTTGGCGTCTGGTCGTCATAATGAAGTCAATCTCATTTTTTGTCGAACCGTCGGGGCTCGACCAGGTCCACTTCCTGTGGGGCCGCTTCTGGAAGAAAGAGTTCATCATAAAGAGTCCCTCTTTCTCCATAAAGTCGGCCAGCTGCTGGCCCCTTCGGTTCCGTTGCCCTACTCCAAATTTCCCTAACTTCAGCTCACCGTTTTCTCTTGTGCCTAGTTTTGCGT